GTCACTTTGTTTGTGGAGGAGCACAAGTTTCTAATCATAATTGTCCTCTTTGCCTCCAAAGACACCCCAATGAGGACGAGTTCTGTCAGTATCCACGAATCAGATCTGGAACATCAGTCGATTAAAAAGTACTTTTTACTCCAAAATGTCAAACAGTCAGCTTTAAATGTTGTCTTCTGTGATGGACTCCTTTGGGTTTTTGTTGCCGATTGGATAAAACCAGACAGATGTCGACTCTGTCCTTCACAACACAACCCCGAATATGACGAGTACACGGAGTTTAACAGCCATTCCAGACATTTCAAGGACTCCAGATATCCCAAAGGTCCGACACCTGTTGGTGTTTGCGTTTCAGTGCACGTATGTACGTTTAAGACGTGCGTCTGGATGCAGCTGTCGGGGTAATAACTTCAACCATGCACCATCTAAAACCCTTTAACTTCCAAACACAAAATTAAATAACCATTTTCATAGCAGACGGTTTGACACGGCGTAGCACGTAAATGGAACACAGCCATAATTAATGTCATTAGTACCAGCTGAGCTTTTACGGCAGAAATCTGCAGAGAAAAAGATGCATCTAATGTGGCACATGGATTAAACCCTGCTGCCCAGCGATACGCACACATACAGGGGAGGCTAATAAAAACAGTGAATTATAATGAGAGTGGATGCTTTTTTCCGACTAATTCTGCAACATGCTTTTCTGAACATTAACTGATCACCCGATTCGGATGTTATCGTCGCATTCGCTCTCATACATATGGATCAGAAGAGACCTCCTCCATCTTCCAGCAGAAGGCAGATTATCGTTCATTCTGATCACTGATTAAGGGAAATTATCTCCGATAAAGCAGATGACCTCCTGCGGTCGTGTGAATGAGTGCATGTTAAATTTCCTGTGGGCTCTGCGCCGTGGAAACACACCAAAGGGAGCTTCATAGCTCAGTAAATGCAGCATTGCTTTAACCCAACAAACCCTTTTTAAACCAAAGTGCTTTTGCAGCTTAAACTCAACACAGACTGATAATGCATGAAAGTTTAAAAGCTTGATGACTTACTCTTTG